CCGGTGGACTGTGTACACCCCCCTCTTGTAGTTGAGCCTTGATTGCTATTGGCATTTCAGTGGGAGGGATTTTACCCCCAGGCCAATCAGCTTCAAGAACTGGCTGAGACCACCAATCACTGACCTCCAACTACCTTGGAGGATCAGCTGTACAGAGGTCCACCCCACAGAGCAGGGCTTACTTCAGTGGGGCTCTGCTGCCTACTGAGTCCACCCCTTGAGTGTGTCCCTTGTAGAGGTGGTTGGGTGGTAATGCTTTGATGGAGTCTGAAGGAGTCCTCAGGGACACTGGCTCTGGGGCCTCTTGGAAGGTGCGGGCCAAGGTCAGCTATAGCCTGTGTTCTGCCCAGGGCCACCAGACATGAGCTACAAAGCGATCTGTTGGTGGCTGCCACTTGTGCTGGGCTTGGAGGTGCCCAGGCGAGGCCAAACTGCAAGCCAAGGCTGGCTGCTGCTAGTGCCGGGCCTGGGACCACTTAGCAAGAGGTATGGGGCATGCTGAGGCCAGATGCTGGTTATTGAGAGATTTTTATGAAAGTCTGAAACATGAGCCAAGATGGGCCATTTGTATGGAAAAGCCACTGGAAACAGCTTGGGTGGGCCAAAGTTGGGTGGGGTGGGGCCTGAGGGAATCACCAGGGCAAGGTAAACAGTGTGAGCCATGTTGATGGAGTCTTAGATATGGCACCTGCCTGTCAGTTCTGTGGGGGGAGAGGTCATCAAAGGAACATTGGCCTCTGCCAGCACTTCTATGTGGGAGAAAGCTGCCCTGCTAGCTCTTGCCCTGATATGAGACAATTCATTTCCTCCCCATATGCCTCTGGTGCCTTTCAAGCTGCTCCCCCAACACTGGAGCTCAGAGGGAGTAAGTCTGAGTAAGTCCTTGTGCGGGCCCTTTAAGAGGAACTGCTTGGGACTCCAGCGGCCCTCAGTCTCCCTTAGCCTCAATCCCCACTGGGTGGTGTGGTGGTGGTTGTTGTTTTTAATTTATTGATTTGAGAGAGAGTGAGAGAGAAACACTGTTTTTGTTGTTAGACTTATTTGTGCATTTATTGGTTGGTTCTTGTACGTGCCCTGACCAGGTATCAAACCTGCAATCTTGGTGTATTGGGATGACTCTCTAACCAACTGAGTACCTGGCCAGGGCAGTCCCTGCTGGATTTTACAGCAAAAGTTATAGGGACTTCTCTTCTTTGCACTGGAACCTGGGCTGAGGGTCCTGGTGTGGGATTGGGACCCCTTGAACCTCAGGGGTCGCAACCCTGCGGCCGTGATATCCCTCCCAGTTTAAAAAAAAATTTTTTTTATTAGTTTTCAGATAGAGAGGAAGGGAGAGAGCGAGAAAGAGAAACATCAGTCGGCTGCCTCCTGCACACCCCTACTGGGGATCCAGCCCACAACCTAGGCTTGTGCCCTTACTGGGAGTCAAACCAGCAACCTTTTGGTGCATGGTGCAATGCCCAACCAACTGAGCCACACCAGCCAGGGCTCTCTCCCAGTTTTTATCTGCCACATGTGAGTATGGGACCAGCCCATTAGGCTCCTCCTCCCCTCCTACCAGTCTTCTTTAATTCCCTAGTTGTAGAACTTCTATTTGGCCAGGTTTCAGGTGGTTCTGAATGCTGGTTGTTCTGTGGTTTAGTTGTAATTTTGATGTGGTTGTGGGAGGAGGCAGGTACCCCGTTTACCTATGCTGCCATCTTGACCAGAAGTCAAGAACTCTTCTTCATTGAAAGACAATATAAAGAAAACAAAAAGATAAACCATTAGCTGGGAGGGAAAAAATATAGTATTTATCAAGACACAAATAACATACACAAATTAATAAGGAGAAGACCAACAACCCAAGAAAGGAAAAAGTAAGAACATGTATTTGATAGAAAATGAAATGAAACATATTCATCCTCATTAATAATTAGGGAAAAGCAAATTAAAACTAGAATGGAATATATATATATATATATATTTTTTTTTTTTTATCCTCACACAAGGATATGTTCTTATTACTCTTTTCGAGAGAAAGAGAGAAACATTGATCTTTTGCCTCCTTAAATGCCCCAACTGGGAATCAAACCCACAATCTTTTGGTGTTTGGGACAATGCTCCGAAGAACTGAGCTACCCAGCCAGAGCCAAGATAAAACTTCTGAACATGATCAACAAGGCCCTGAGTGGTTCTAAGCCCCTAGCCTCATCCTGCTGTGGTTCTCCTCTAGCTTCACTGGTCTTATTTCAATCTCTTGAACCTCCCGTACTCTTTCCTATTAAAGGGGAATGTAATTAAACTCTCCCTTTGATGTTATGAACTTTTTTTTTTAATAAAATAACTAATACAGCCCCGCTGAGTGTGGCTCAGCGGTTGAGCGTAGACCTAGGATCCAGGCAATCGGAGTTCGATTCCCGGTCAGGGCACATGCCCGGGTTGCGGGTTCAATCCCCATTCGGGGACGTGCAGGAGGCAGCCGATCAGTGACTCTCATCATTGACATTTCTATCCCTCTCTCTCCCTCCCCTTTCCTCTCTGAAATCAATAAAGATATATTTAAAAAATAAAAAAAAATAAAATAACTAATACAAATAAAAGTTTGTATGATACATATATGTGTATAAACATATGTATGTATACACATATATAATAGCATAGTAAATGAAATACTCATTAACTCAGCATCCAACTTGGAAAATAAAATATTTCCAATATTGAAAGTTCTTGGTATACTCCTCACAGAGTTATTCCCATTTCCCTCTTAAATTTTTTAGTGTTCCTTTGCTTTTGTTTTAAATAGTTTACCACACATATAAGTATCTCTAAACATTATGTTTGCTTTTTTTTTTTTAACTTTATAAATATTTTACACTGCATGTATTCTTCAGTGACTTCCTATGTTACATTTCTGGAGTTCTTTCCTCATTTTCACTGCTTTCAGGAGTCCATTGGAAGGACATTACTTCTGCATTCTACTATAAATGGACTTTTTGGTTTCCAATTTTTTGTTTTCACAAACAGTGCTGTGAATATTCATGAACAGGTCCCTGGTACAGATGTGCAAGTTTATGTAGGGCAAAGCTTCTCAGTGTGTGTGCCATAGCTTGAGTGGGTGTAGGTGTGAGCAAAGGGTTGAGCAATCCTCTTGCTCTTCAGCAGCCCATGGGAAATGAGGCCTTTGGCCTAGAGAGCAGACTGGGCCTTTTAGCCCTGTGTCTCAAACAAACGTCATCCATTTGCTGTAAGTGCTACACATCTAAAACAGAAAGGGTTGCTCCTGGGCCTTCCTATTCAAAGTGTAGTCTACCAGCCAGCAACATCTCATGCAGAAACTTGATAAAAACGTAGCATCTTAGGCCAGGCCGTATACTAGACCTGGTGAATCAGAACCTGCATTTTAATAAGATCCCAGATGACTCATGCACAAAGTTTGAATAATATTCCTCCCTGTGTGTGTGTATGTGTACACCACATTTAATTTGTTCATCTATTGTATGTTTATACATATACACAGTATATATATGTATATATAAATCACATTTTTTAATCATCCATCAGTGGTACTTAGGTTATCTCTTGATTGGCTGAAGATTTACCCTGTAGATCAGGCAGTTTGAGCTATCACAAAGTCCCACTGTGAATCACATATACTTTATTCTAGAAGTCCAACCTAGTATTACCATGAGGCCCTTACTTAGTTACATGTGAAATAAGGCATCTGATTGAAAACAGCAAATGAGAAGTGTTGACACTACACTGATGCAGTTTACTATACAGAATGAGATCTGAGCTGACATTAGGAACATGTGGAGTTCATGAACCACATTACTGCAGAAGCAATACCTCTGTTCATCTTCCTATATGAGGTACTGTGACATTATACAGTAATTAATAATAATGATCATTAGTAAAGAAAAACTGTGGTTTCCTTTTTTTAAGAAGGTAAGGAATGTTTTAGGAAATTTGCTATTAAAGATTATTAAAACATTTGGTGATTGAGCTTCTAGTTTTTTGAAAATTTCTTTGAACTACCTTATTTTCTAGTTATAGATATACAAGATAAATGTGATGCTACTGAAGTTTCTATAAGAACTTCAAATAAACTGTATTCTTTTAATGTTTTAATACATTTCAAGTTTATTGCTGTGGATGAAATAGATTCTTGTTTTCACTTGCAGATTCTTTATCCTATCCTGTTATGCAAAATGTTCAGCATCCCAAGTCTAACCCAGTGGTATCCACTGTTGTATCAGGAGCCTCGTCAGCAAGGTCACCTCTTGTTGCAAATCACCTCGTTGAGCCTGTCGCCTCGGTTACACAGCCATCAGAACTGTTACAACAGAAAGGTATTGGAGAAATCCGTTATACTATATATGTAGCATACATAGGCACACATATTGATTCAAATAGGTAGTCAAACTGCATAACCATAATTTTTAGAAAATATGAAAAGTAATTTATAATCTCAATTCCAACACAACTATTTTCTTTTCATATATTAACTTTCAGTCTCTATGAATTTATATTTTACATAATTGCAATCATAGTTTACTATTTTGTATTTTGCTTTTACATTTACTAAGTTATTCACAGTTCTTCATCTATCTACATAGTCTTTATAGTCATTTTCTGGCTAATAATTCATTATATCAATGTATTATAATTTACTAATCCATCCCTCTATTGTGGAACATTTATTTCCTATTTTTAAAGGTTATTATAGTTTCTTTTATAATAAAGTACCCAAGAGTTCCTTATTTAGTGTATTTCCATATCTTATTTGATGATTTCTGTGCTTTGTCATTATCATCAATGGAAAGTAGCTTCTGACTGAATTTTGGGAATGAGGAATTAAAATGAAATTATATCCCACATTCACAGCATTGACAAACAATACAGTTTGTTTTTTTGCTTGTTTAGTATTCTCCATGTGTCAAATAAGTGACAGCCAACTAAAATGTGTTATTTTGACCCCTTTTTCCCACATTGTCTTTTCTTTTGTCACTATTCATGATTATTTTCTGTCTGGCTAAAATTCCAAAGCTATTGATGGTTCAAGTTAATATACTGTATTTTTCATTTGATGAGAGATAACCTGAACTGTTTTTAGAAATCTACAACTTGTATTTCCAAAGCAACCATTAGTAATATTTTTAGGGACTATACTCACTATGTAATGACAGCTCCTGACTTTGAATATGAAGAACTCTCTCTCATGCTCTGAAACAGGAAAAGCATCATAAATCTTTAGGCTAATTTTACTGCCCTTATTTGCTGAGTATTTGTGTAGTCTACAGGAGCCTTCCTATCATTTGATCAGATTATACATTATAAATTTTTTATTTGGTTTTATAGGAAAACCAGCTCTAGCACCAAGGAGTGTCTGTTGATTCCCAACATGCCAGTGGGTATATTTAGGGAATAGAATTTAGTTTTTATAAGTGTTTGCCTTCAAAATGAAAGGCTGGTAGGAAAGTTTTGCTTGTCATGAGCAAGGGTAGGTTGAAGCCCTAACTGAATAAATGGTGTCTTTTTATGTCTTTCCTCTATATGGATGACTCATTCCATTTCTTAACTATCTTGCTTGTTTTGACCTTTTAAATTGCCCCTGCTAATTTTTTTTTTCATATTTTCTTTTTGACCATTTTACTTTAAATACATGTTGTTATTTTACTGTATTGATTTGTAAATCACTTTCTCACTAATCATGTTTCATTTTTTCCTTACTAAGTAGATTTGAAAAGAGAAGGAGCTACCTTTTTTTTTTTTTAAATATCTTTATTGATTTCAGAGAGGAAGGGAGAGGAAGAGAGAGAGTTGAAACATCAATGATGAGAGAGTCATCATTGATCGGCTGCCTCCTGCACGCCTCTGACTGGGGATTGAGCCCGCAACTGAGGCATGTGCCCTGACCAGGAATTGAACCGCGATCTCCTGGATCTTAGATCAATGCTCAACCTCTGAGCCATGCCTGGCTGGGCGAAGGAGCTACCATTTATTTAGCACCTATAATGTGCCAGATACTTTATTTTTTCATTTAATCCTCATTCAATTCTATGATGTAGATATTATCTGTTTTGCAGATAAGAAAAGTGAGACTCACAAAAATTAGATAACCTGCCCAAATTATAAATTAGTAAGTAGCAGAGTGAAAGATTTTTAGCTCAGACCTTTCTATCCTTGTGCTCTTTCTATAAAATGAGGCTGAATTTTTTGTTGTTGGCTGTTAAACTCTTGATTTACTGAAGATAAGCGTCTTGCTTGAATAAGTAACAGGAAAGATATTACCGGAGACATTTGAATTGTAGCTTTTAATATTCCTTTCTCTTAAGTAGGACATTGGCTTCTTAGTGGCCTTTTTGCCTTTGAATAGGCCTGGGGTACACACCTAATCCTGTGAGTTAGGGCTACCATGTATGCTGTGCAAGTTGTAGTTTGCATGAATGGTGCCTCTTGTAGTTGTGCTGTGCACAGCCTGCATAGTGTATGGTGTGGGTCTAATTTGGCTACTGAACTAGTACAACTTAAAAGAGATCAGTCTTTTTCTACCAGCTTCAAAGATACCCTTGCTTAGTTATTTTCTCAAGGACTCAGCATTTTTTTACTGATTTTTAGAGGAGAAGCTTCAAATTTTTGCTCCTAAATTATTTTTTTAAGAAACTATTAAAACTACTTAAACATTTTTCAGATTGAAAAATCTGAAATTTTTGACCGAAAGTTGAAATAGTTGCAGTTACGTAATTTTCAACATAGCTCATATAGGGACTTTTAAAACAAAGACGTTACATTGTTCTTTATATCCACTGGAATGAGGCCTACTTTTATCCTTTAAAAAAATACCCAAATAAGCCCTTCTTTAACATTTGGAAAATTTACATTTTTTTCTCTTCTTTATGTCATGCCCTCTCCTCTGAATATAATATAGTATATTCTTAAGCTAGAAACTCTTTTATCACTCTATATCATACTTCTCTGCCACAATGATAGTATATAAATTGAAATTTTAAAATTTGTTTTATTGTCTATGACCATAAGTCTAAACATTAATATTTCTTCTTCTGGGTTAAATAACTAGTACAATTATTACTAGCATATAATTGGTCAAAACAATGTAAACATCATGACTTTTGACTTTTTTTAATTATAGAGTACATTTTTATTGAAAATACATATTTCATTGAGATGAATCCCTCTCCCTCCTCCCCACCTTAGTTTAGTGTATCTTAGTTGCATATCGTTCATTGTTAGAGTAAGATAAACTTTAGCTAGATTTCATATTTAATTACCAAGAAATACTTTGTTCACATAATGTAGATAGGAATGATATTTGAAAGGTTTTATTAAAGCAGTATTGTTCTTTTTGGTTTTTAACCTTCTGAGTTACACGTCAGAAATTTTTATTGTGAGATTTTATTTTCCATGTAGTCAGTGACATTATTACTTTAATGTAGCAGTTTATAATTTTAAAATACCTATCACTTTCATCTCTTACTTGATCATGTGAAGCAGCCATATCATATTTCATTTTCCTTTTACAGATGAAAAATTTCAGTTAGAGATATTGGTGTCTTACCCAAAGATATACAGACTCCCAGGGAGGGAGCAAGACCCAATGCAGATCTTGGCTGCCTCCAAACCCAGTGCTCATTTTACTGAATCAGCAATTATTCAAAATATTGGGAATTTCATTATACCATTACCAGTATCTTATCACATCCTCTCAGTGTATTTTTATCAAAATTTCAAACTGTGATGTAGGTCATTTATTTTATGGAGGGTATCTCTATATAACCTAATTGGTAAAGGCAGTCCTCATTTTCAAACCAGTGAGACAAATTTTATTCTTTGTCAGGAAGTCTGATTTAATTTTTTTAACCCAAAGAAATGTTTTTGTAGAATTGTAAGGGATATCTGTAGATTTAGGGTGCTTTGGTGACTCATTTTAGGAAGGGGAACATTTTCCCTTTAGCATCTGAGATTTTAATATCTCAAGGCAATGTATTATAGTAAGATTAGGATAAATTAAGCGTAAGTGTTTCCTTTGTAAAGTGAGAGAAAGGCTGTTGTCAACACAGGCACTTTCTTAGGTGGGTACGTTTTAGGAAGGAAGGTACTATGGAAATTGATTCCCTTAAAACAGTTCTTTTGTGAGAACCCTTGGAAAGCTTTGTAGTATGTGTACCTGGTTTGAAAACCAGCTTAGGAAAAATAACAGTTGCTCAAAAGCCTGAACTCTTGAATTTAAAAAAGCTAATCTTACAAGGGATTTATTCTCTTAAGATTAGTTTTATTTCCAACCTAGCTGTATCTAGGGAACAGTGAAGAAGCCTTTTATTAAGCTGTCCCAAGGATGTGGAGAGTTTTACCTGAAGGTACTTGAATGATGGGTAGTTTAAACCAAATGTCCTTTTTAAAATATTGGAGCCCTGTTAATTACACAACTCTTCATAGTGTCAGATTCTATCTATTACAGGTTTCTTGCCTCTTGGTTTAATAGAGTCATACCTTGGAAGTTCTGATCAAGATAGAATAAATTAGGATATAGCATTCATTTCCCATTTGGTGGTATTGGTCATGGTTGGGATGGAAGGTACTCCATGTACATTTTTACAGTGAGTTTTAGGCTGAGCTCTGGAAGACATATCATATTCTACCACTTTATAAATACAGCCTGTGTATGTTATACATAGGTTTTGACTCTTAGAGAGGATCTGAGTAAAGGCACTCAGGAAGTTCTTATAACCATTCATATATCACAGAGCAGTAACTTGGTGTCAGCCACTTTCTGGCCATAACTCACCATTTGTTGCAGTTTGGATAAACTGGATCCAGTCTAGAGCAGGGTGCTTAATACTGATTGATTGTTACTCTGGAGCTCTTACCATTCCTCTGTGGATTAACTAAAATGTCATATTCTTATGCCATTAGTATTACCAAGCTTTTAACAAAGTTTACTTGAACGAGCAAAGAAAGACTAAACTCTGAGCATATTCACATTTGGGGTAGGGCTTAAATTTTGTTACTTTCATCTCCAGTAGTTCTTAAAAGAATTGCATCTTTTTTTTTTTTTTCAGGAAAGTTAAGTGTGAGTATGTTGGCTGACATTCTGTTACTATAGTACATTGACAACTGTAGTATATCTGAAATGAAGTATATGTAAAATGTATAGTATATCTAAACTGTATAATATCTAAAATGATATTATAATGAATAATAATATTACTGTAGTCTATCTTATTCTTAGATTTGTTCCAGTGCACTGAGTAGTTCTATAAATTTTTTATCATTGTATAGTGATCTCATTTGCTTCCAATTAAGCATTGGCTATTTTTCCAATAATAAGTGAAATAAATCTATTTTTATTCATTAAATCTGGAAAGAGGAAAATATTTATCTTATAATATATATGATGTGCCCTGTACTTTGACTAGATACAGAGTCAACAACCTCCATACTCATTCAGTCATGAAAGAATGTATTCTCTTCTGATTTTTTTCTGATTATTGGCCTCTGTTAGCTCAGCATAGTAAATGGGACTTCTTCTGGTTTCATATATACACCCCCCACACACACACACACACAGGATGGGACAAAGGAGGTTTACAGTTGTATATGAAATACAGTTTATTCTTTTATTGTTATTTATTAATTATTGTATTATTTTCCATATGGACAACTGTAAACCTACTTTTGCCCCATCCTGTATGTGTACTTTTAATTTAATTTAATTTATTTATATATTTTTATTATTTTTAATATATATTTTATTGTTGACAGTGTTACAGATGTGCAAGGCTAATTGCACTTTGAGAAAGTACTTCATTTTTTAAGGAAGTCCTTAAATTGAATTTCTTTTTTATAAAATCTTTTTACTGTAAACTTACGTTTAATTGTAACTTCTTAGTATATTTAACCTTAGTATATTTAATCTAATGTTAGTCAAATTTTCATTTTAACTAGGCATTTATTAGAGGAATTTGGCCTTTTCAAGGTATCAAGCTTATTTCTTGTATTTTCTGAAGTTATTTAAATTAATTTTTATTTTCTCAGATGAATTTATTATAACTGACGTTTTATCTATAATTAGAAGATGTTTCAGCAAAGCTAGCAGGTTTTTTACATGACTTTTTTAGTCAGAGCGAGATCACATTTTCACTCATGTACAATTTCACCTTTTTTCCCTTCTGAGTTCAAATTTTACCCTTTAATAGCATTTTTCTTATTATAGACATAGTTATGTTTATCCATGCTAATTTGAAAGGTCACGGGAAAAAACGAGGAGAGCATCAGGGAACTACCATGTGATTTTGGTGAGGCCAGGCTTCACTGTGCCTCTAGTATTGAGAAGTATTCTTGAAAATTCCCACTATGTCTAAGTTTTTCTGTTTTCAAGCTGAGCTATAAGATTTTCCTTGTAGGGGTTTTATTCTTATTTATATTTTCATTTTTAATTAAGATTATTTTATTTTCCCTCAAAATTCTGTGGATATTAGCTTTTTAAGTCTTGATTTTGCCTCATTAATTAATAAAAATACCCAGTCAAATTTTTAAAGAGAAGCATTGTACAGTTACCAGCTGCTGTGCCTTTTCTACAGAATCTGCCTTCTCTTGGTGACTCTCTCTGAGGACTACTCATTGATCTACTTCAGACTCACATGCAGACAATAGACTGAAGCTGAGATGATTGGCCATCTTAGAAAATACACTTTTCTGTAATTGCCACACTTGTAGGGCCACAGTTGGTAAATGCCCCCACCTTTCACCCTGTCCTGCCCCCCACCCTCTTTTTGAACATCTGTGAGCAGAGAACTATGCTGAATACAGTTCTTTTCTTTAACTGTCATTCTTTTTCCGTTATGAGAACTGAGTTACCATCAAGGTGGCATTAGCAGAAGGAAGGTATCAAGTATCTGTGTTATGTGCTGTATAAATTCATTTCAGTAGAATGATTACTGCTCACCAAGAATGCACAGTCCCAAAGGAAGTATACTACAGGAGTCCTAAATTTAAAGAAGGTAAACATGTATAGAGTTCAGTAAGATTTTCAGAGATTGTCATTGCAATTTCCTAAATAATATCAGTGTAATACATGGTACTTTTTTCACACTTAAATCAGCTAGTTCATATTAAAGCTGCTACTACTAAGCTGCTTTTAGCGATTTGCTAACAGTTTCAGTTTTGATAATAAATTTGCTAATATTAATGTGCATGCTGGGATGCTCTTTGGAATGTCAGAGTTCTTTCTCACTTTTAATGCAATGTCAGATTTTATTTCTCATCTTTCCTGTTGGTTTGACTCTTGTGTTTGTGCTTTCCACTTTACAGGCATGCAGTATGGTGAATATGTTAATAATCAAGCTAGCTCCGCACCAACTCCCTTGTCATCAACTTCCGATGATGAGGAAGAGGAGGAGGAGGATGAGGAAGCAGGTCTGCTTTAGCTTTACACCAGTTCTTAATCTTTTCCTACTCAATTTTTTTTTAATGTCCACAGTCTTACTAGCCTCCTTAAAAAGTATCTTTGCAGATTTAGCTCAATGAATTTGCTTGGTTTAGGTTATAGAGGTTGGGGCCACTTGAAATGAGGTGTTTTGCTTGTCTGTTTTATTTTTCTTTCGTAGGACATCTTTACCATTTCACTAAGTAACAATACATCTTTCATGATGACAGAGCGGTTTCTTCTTTCAGAAGTGCGTTTCCTCTCATGTCATGCAAAAGAATGAGTGTTGACTAAAGCTTTTGACTGTTGTTTGCCCTAACACCCTTTTAGGAGTAATGTTTTATTTTCTGCTTTGCATGCTATTTTAGTCTAGTCAGAATGAACCATTTGGATTTTATAACATTGATAGAGAAACAGGACAATGTTTCTTTGAGGTCCTTTTGGCATTTATTATATATAGAAAGCCCCAAATTTGTAGTTGTTTCCAGCTTTATGTAGTAGTTCATGTCTTGCCTGTGGAGGAAATTGTGCATATGATTATGTGTTGCAGCCTGCAGTCTGTTTACTTTCTTTTCTGCCTTTAATAGAACACTGCAGTTCAGTTCCTTCATTAATTCTAATAGTTCAAGACTGAACCAATAAGTGATGACCTTTTCAAGTTATTGTATATGTGACCATAATTATCCTTCTGTTACCTTTACTATTGAATGGAAGAATTTGCTCTATAATTAGTACATTTAACTAAAAGTTTCTGTTTCCTTTCCATTTTTAAAATTTTCAAATCCTTAGGCATGATTTGGGGGGATATGAAAATAGAAGGTTCTAGATAAGGAATAATTTTTCTTACTCTAAATATGTAAATACCTATCTGTCTTTCTGAATTTTTCGTAATTTTTGTCTTACACAACTTCAATCTCATAGAAAAGTTGGAAAAAGAGGAAAGGAAGCTCCCATATACATTTTACCCAGATAGACATTTTTGTCCCACTTACTTACTAATATTCTATCCATAGTTTTTCCTACATCATTTGAAAGTAAGTTGGAGATATCATGGACCTTTGCCCCTAAAAACTTGAGTATGTATTTCCTAATTGTAAAGACAATGTTTTCTTTTGTTTGTTTGGTTTTTAAAGAATAAAAACATTTATTTGAGCAATAAGAGCTGCAGCCCTGGAAACACAAGTTCAGGTAGCAACCTAAATTGTGTTCCAAAGGAGAGGTCACCTTTTATAGAGAATTTTCCTGCCTCTTAGGTCCCACTTTGATCTGTTTTATGTAAATGAGTTTTCCAAATTGTATAGTTCTGACTTGTCTAAGTCATGCAGTTCTGATTGGTCACTATAAATGCAGTGCAATATAATTTGCATAGCTGTGATTGGACAGGGCACGTCTCAGTCCATTGATCAAAAGATGAAACCGGGGCTTGCCTGCAGTAGTTAACAGCAAGCTGGGCATAGTGTGGGAAGCTGAAAGCTCAGTCTGAGGTTCTTTTCAGTACACAGAGTACACAAGGAACCCATCAGCAAATGGCCAGTAGACTGTTAATTATTTGTCAAATTTGGGCTATCAGTTGACCATTGGGAGTCAATCTAGGTAGATAAATTACTTCGCAGGGTAAGACAATGTCTTATATAACATAAACAATAAAGATTTATCAGGAAATTGAATTACTGATATATCTGCTACACAGTCCATGGTCAAATCTCAAGAATTGTCTCAATAAGATCTTTTGTAACTGCTTTCATGACCCAAGGACTCAATACAGGGTTATGCATTGAATTTAGTTGTCATTTGTATTTAGACCGTAAGAGAATAGTTCGTAACCTTTCTTTCTCTTTCTTCACTTCGACATTTTTGAAGAATAGAGGCAAGTTATTTTGTATAGTGTCCTTCAATTTGGGTTTATCTGATGTATCCTTGGGATTAGATTCAAATCATGCTTTTTGGCAATATTTCCAAATATTGTAATATATTGTCAGTGCATTCTATCTGATGCACATAGTATATATGTGTGTGTGTGTGTGTGTGTGTGTGTGTGTGTGTATCCACCCTCATCTGAGGATATTTTTCCATTGAATTTTATAAAGAATGGAAAGAGGGGCGGGGAGAGAAACATCGATGTGAGAGAGAGACATCGATTGGCTGCCTTCCTTGAGCACCCATGACCAGGGCTGGGGATTGAACCTGCAACCCAGGTATGTGTCCTTAACGGAAATCAAACCCATGACCCATGACAGTGCATGGGCTGACTCTGTGACCACTGAGCCACACTGACCAGGGCTTGTTCCCGTAATAATGATGTTAACTTTGATCTGTTGGTTAAGATCTTGTCTGCCAGGGTTGTCCAATCTGTCCTACTTTTCACCCTTGAAATTAATAAATAGTTTGTGAGAAGATTCTTTGCTACTTTATAAATATCCTGTTCTTTAATAAACTGTCACTCAGTTTTAGCATTCATTGATGATTTTCTAATTCTAGCATTCTTTCTATATTTATGAATTGAGGTTTCATTATAAAGAAGAGCTATTCCTTCTCTCTTATTGATTTCTTTGGGTTCATATTGACTGGTGGGTTCTTATTTTACCCGGTGGGTTATAAATCATTACTATCATTAGTTATTTTGATAGCAGTTTGACCACTGGCAGCTCCTCGAAATTGTCTTCTTATATGTTCCCATGAATATTTGAGCACTTACTTTAAGTACCTTTAGGCCTCAATAAGGTGTTCCTAGCTTAGTTTATACTTACACTGCTGCAACCCTGGAATGAGCCATTTCTTTAAACAGCCCTGATTCTTTTAGTGGAGAAGGGTGTTTTAGAAACGAAGATCTGATTGTACTATGTGGTCATTGTTACCAGTGGGTCATTCTTTCAAGGCGCTGGATCGTTATTATTTAATGTACATATTTTTCAGTTCCTAGATACATCTCACTTTATCTCATGATCCTTATTTTACACATTTCAAAAATGTGTTGCTTTTTATAATGTTATATATCAGCCTAAATTACTCCCGTTTTTATTCTGCTTGCAATTAGGTGCAATTGTTGAAAATTCCATTTCCTTAGACTCAAAAAAATAGGAAATCAGAAAGATTTAGCATTTATGGCCTTTTCCCCTATCACCTTATCTTGTTTAACTAATTTTTTTTCTTGAATATATTTCAGATTAAAAATTCCTGAGTTCTTAATTCATGGCGTTTAAGTTTTAATAATGCCTAACATTTTTGAGCACTTATTGTGTGCCAGTTTTGCAGCTCTAAACAGCTAATATGTTTCCCTGGGTTTTTGTGTCAGTTCTTCTAGATTCACATCTTGGCTTTGTCACTTACCAGCTTTGTGACCTTAGGCAAGTTTCTTAAACTCATTCAGTCTCAATTTTACTCATCTGTAAAATGGGAATAATAGTTATAATTGAGGATTAAAGGTATTCTTTGTAAAGAGCTTATAACAGTGTCTGGTAAATGATAAACACACAAAAATTACCTGTCTTTTTTTTAATATATATTTTTATTGATTTCAGAAAGAGGAAAGAGAGGGAGAGAGAGATAGAAACATCAATGATTGATGAAACAGTCATTGATCAGCTGCTTCCTGCATGCCCTCTGCTGGGGATCCAGCCTGCAATCCAGGCATGTGCCCTGAGCGGGAATCAAACCTCTATCTCCTGGATCATAGATCCATGCCCAACCACTGAGCCATGCCCGGCCAGACACCGGTCATTTTTAACATTGAGATCATGTTCTTAATTTATTCTTCGGTACAATCTTGCAAGGCAGAGATAATCGGTTCCATTTTACAGATGAGTTGACTGTGATCTGAACAAGTTAAGTAACATTTGTCTAGTGGTGCAACTACTAAGCAGCATACTGCTGATGCAGACTCAGTTCTCTGCAAAACAGTATGAAAAGGAAGGATTCTCCATCTCCTAGTCAGAACACAGCACCAGAGTAGGAGGGAACTAAAGGACACAGGGCAGTATGTAGTCACTACAGCATTATTTACATGTTATCTTCCCCTCTGCTTTTTTATTACACAGCAAAATAATAAGACTATGCTGTGGAATTTTTTGCTAGAACCCTGGTGTTCTCTATTCATGGTTTCCAAAAAAAATTATTTTAGTTGATTGCAAAATAAAGGGATGTTCCAGTGAGGGGAAAGAAAAATGGAAAGAAACCCTAGCTTTAAAATAAATTTTATTTTTATCTTTTTTAAACCATATTCAGTTACAATAATTTTTTAATATGTAAAGAGATAAAATAAGGGGGCTTAGATTGGTTTGGGAATTATATATAAGTATTTCTTTTTTTATCTTTTTATGGAGTTTTAAAAATTTTACTTTTTAGTTATAGTTGACATACAATATTATTTTTTTTCTTGCAATATATTTTTTCAATTTTATTTTATTTTTTCCCACTACCATTTGTCCCCTCTATTCCCTCTTCCACCTCCACCCATCCGCCTCTACCCCTGCAATCACTAAACTGTTGTCCATGCCTATCACTTCTCTCCCTTTTTTTTAATAATCTTTATTAATTTCAGAAAGAGGAAGGGAGAGGGAGAGAGAGAAACATCAATGATGAGAGTCATTAATCGGCTGCCTTCTGCATACCTCCCACTGGGGATCAAGCCTATAAACCGGGCATGTGCCCTGACCAGGAATCGAACCTTCATCTCCTGGATCGTAGGTTGATGCTCAACCGCTGAGCCATGCCGGCGGGCTCTCCCTTTTTTTTTTCTTTTTTGCTCAATCCCTCCACCGCCTCCCCCCGCAAGCCCCCTCCCCAGAGCGAGATAAAATATTAGTTTCAGGTGTACAACATAGTGATTAGACTTTTATATGTGCCAGATGGGTACATATAAATATTTCTATAGAGATTTGGAATGCTCTAATTTTTAAGCATTTTAGTGGTAATTAATTCTCTATATTCATGAGATTTTTTGTGTGTTTAGGTTATGTGGAATTATTCTCCAATATTGAAAAAACTTATTGAA